AGTATACCTTGTATATACAAACGTGTTTGGTCAACATAGGTCCTATATTAACTTAAAAATTAACCTGCTGCAAAATATTTGACAACCCATCCGAGGCAATCCTGGTAATGAGCATTCCTAGATGTATCTTTACCATGCAAGGGTTGTCTAAGTAAAATAAATAATCCCTTACATAAGATTCTGCTGCAAAACCTTTACTTGGCCAATATCGTTTGGAAAATATAGGTCACATCTAGTATGCGAATCAAGTCCAGGAGTATGCGTCCTTAGTTAATAATCAATGCAAGTTTTGTCCACATAAGCTTTATAGTCACAGTGCTTAAAATGAACCCTGAACTTTAACCTAGTTACTCATCCGGAAAATGTAGGTCACATACAGCATCTGAAGCAAGCCTGGAAGTGAGCATCCTTGGATATATCATTCAAGCAAGTTTTAACAACATAGGAATTATTGTCACTTTGAAATGAAACTGCTCTCTACACACTATGAGCATCATCCATGAACCTCTGATTGATATGGAAATCTGCACAAAAAACCTTTAACCTGGGACATCGACATTAAGGTTTATACATAAACTGCTCCCAGCTTCTTTAATTTGAGTGCGCGAATGATTCAAATCATAAAAAACTTTGATTAATAATCATATCCTCAATTGTATTTTTTAATGATCATTTACTTTCCGGAAATATTAACTTTAAATCAGAGAATACAGAAGGAAAAGGAGAGTAAAAGTTCATTTTGTGCATAGGACAATTTCAATTCTCACAGAAAAAAATATTTTACCATTTACAATGAATTTCAATGGCATGACAAAATTTTATATGAACATAACAAGAGGCCCACGGGCCTTATAGGTCACCTGAGTATCATGCAACAACTTTCCAGTGATTGTATTTGGTTCGTGTTTTAATCCAAAAGCCATGAAATTCACAAATTTGGAAAGAGGCACCATTGCTTATCAAAGGGCAGATTTCAAAGCATTAATTTATTTTTAGTCAAAGTACCCCCCTGGTACCCCTGACCCAGCGGCCCTGAAATTATCTATTTTGAAAGAGGCCCCTTTCTTCATTACAAGGCCAGCATTTTTTTATGTTTAGGTTTAGTTATGAACATGAGAATAAAAATGTCCCGATTGAGAAGAAATTTTTTTTTTGTGATAAATCAATTATTAACATTTGTACATTCTTTTTTTATGCCATTCTAATAGGCACCTTACCACTGGACACATAATGCTTAAAAATACGAATGTAGAACATTGCTTATTTCATCATCTGCCAGTTTGGGCCAGTTATATAAATTTTGTGATGTTGGTCGATATGTATTTTAAAAAATCAATTCTTTAAATGTCTTTCAATACATCTTCATTTTTTTAATATGTGTTAGGTGAATGTGTAAGCATTGTTCTAAAATTTACTTGATGCCTAAAATTATATAATTCCTATCATAAAACAGTCAGGGAGTATTAGGGAGTAGGGTGAACATTTTTTCAATTAAGTGTAAAATAATTTTACTGGCTGATACAAATGATACTTCATGCCTGTATATATTTGTATATTTTTGCCTTTTAATAGTTGAATTTTTTCTTTATTTCTTCAGGTTATTGTTTATTTCTTCCTTAAATGGACTAAACTTCTCCCATAGTTTTATTCATCACATCTGATGCATAAGCAACCCTTTTCTGAAGAATGATGCTTAGACTGTAAGCTATAACAGAGATCTAAACAATGTCGCTGACAATATGCAATAGCTACCACTGGCAGTTTAAAACCTGTGGGAGGAAAATAATTTACAAATACTTTTGAAACTAATACATAATTATCTCACCAGCATGTCATTGTGCAACAAAGTCGTCAGCATTTTATTTGTCTTTTGAAAGGGTGAAACGTTTTGAATGGCACTCGAATCGATGAATTTTACACTAAACCAAGCTATCTTCTCAGATAGATCTAGCAATATTTACCCGCCGTTTCATCTTAAAACCGGAAGTGCGACTTTGTAAATTTGAAATCTCGATCCCGACTCAAATTTGACATCGGAAAGAAAAAATTGTTTTATTTTTTCTGAAAATTCTAAACCTTGAGCGGAGAGTTTATAAAACTGAAAATAAAATAAATCCTGGCCTTAAATATGTAATTAGATCATTAGCATATTAACCAGGAGCAAAGGATAAGATGTTCAAAGAATTCATGCATTTCAATATATAATCATTAGAGCCCCACCCTAAAACAAAAACCCTTGACCCTGGGGCCATAAAATTCACAATTTTGGTAGAGACAATCTTGCTCATCATAACAATGTACTTAGTTAGTTTATTTAATACCCAGGAGCAGAGAAGAAGATTTTCAAAGAAATAATGTATTTTCACTATATAATCAATAGAGCCCCGCCCTAAGACAAGAACCCTTGACCCCGGGGCCATAAAATTCACAATTTTGGAAGAGGCACTCTTGCTCATCATAACTATGTTCTTAGGTGGTTTATTTAATACCCAGGAGCAGAGAAGATTTTCAACGAAATAATGCATTTTCACTATATAATCTATATAGCCCCTCCCTAGCACTAGAACCCCTGACCCCAGGGCCATGAATTTCACAATTTTGGTAGAGGACTCATTGCTGATTACAATCATGCAAACAGATTGACTGCTTGATGTCCAGGAGTAAAGAAGAAGATTTTTAAAGATTGCATTAATTTTAGTGGTTTTGACCCCACCCCTCAGGCCCCAGGGGGGCAGGGATCATGAAATTCACAATTTTGTTCCCCTTCACCCATACATGCTTTATGCCAAATATGGTTAAAATTGGTTCAGTGGTTTCAGAGAAGAAGCTGAAAATGTTCAAATGTTAACACACGACGCACGACGGACGACAGATGACGCACGACGACGGACGAAAACAGATAGCAATAGGTCACCTGAGTTTACTCAGGTGACCTAAAAAAGAACCGTCAGTATGCATATGCCTTACATAAAAAATGAGCAAAAAGGAAATCTTATAGTGAGCCTATACCTTATTATCGATTGTATCTGCCACCACATCAAACTCCATCTTGTGTTCGGAAACCATAAGGTTTTTTCCTCCAGCAACTACAGCTTCTAAATTCATTGTAAAGTCTACGCTGTATATCATTCCAAAATCGCTTTCGGTTGTTTTACATGTTATCATTGTTGTGTCAGTCTCCTCAGAGTTAGATTCATCTTTTGATGCTTTAAAAGAAAGAGTATTCAAAGAGGTATATCCCACTGCTAATTTTAAAGTGGTATTTTGAATTTTAAATAGAGTTTTTATTTTTGAATTAAAAGCATCTAATATTTAAGCATGGTTTGGTTTATCCTATCACATTCCTTTTTGAAAATCAAAGTTTTTGGGGAAACCCAGGAATTAGGAGTAATGTTATAGTCATAAAACACTGCTTAAGCTAAATGGATGTACAGCAGTTCATTTGAATTTGGTAGCTTAATATACATCCATCACTGATTGTAATCTCCACCTTTCCCATTTCCCTTTGATAATTTTCGAATCACTTTCCATTTTACCCTTTTAGTTAGATATTTAGATGCAACGTATAGAGAGAAAAATATTCTCTCAGACTTACAACAGTCAGGAACGTATCTTGGATTTAGAACTGTTGGCAGCATAAATGTTCCTGTTTTATCAGATGACAAATCCAGCTCCATTGCGTAAGCAAATGTGAGTTTGGCTGCTTTCCTGGACGGGAGATTTCCGAGTTTGAGACGAAATATATCTCCAGCGTTGTCATCTTCTCCCATGTACATGGCAGTATGGCCAGCAGCAACGGCATCTTGATACGTCTCTTTTGCCTTTCACAAAAAATCATATATTTTTTAAATGAGATGAAATATAATAAGTATATTTTATTACACTCATAATATTCATTCTATACAACGTGTTATCTGTTTTTTGCAAGAGAAACCAAATGAATGTTTGGGAAAATGTGAAGCTCTCGGAGTATATGATTTATCTTGACTGAAAAGATCTTCATATTTCTCATAATATTATGCAATAGATGTATGATATATGATTGTTGAACACAAATATGTATGTCAACCTTTGATTTCTCCTGAACTTCTGCTACAATTGTTCTACCGTCTATCTCGGCTTCAAACTTGTAAACAGCTGCGTCAGAGTCCAGTGGGAAGACAAACTCTGTCTCAATGTTCTCGTCCGAGTCGTTAACATACTGAAGGTCAGAGGTCACGTTGGCGATAAATCCATGGATCGCCACCTGGATGTTGATTTTCTTCAACGGAACTGTAAAAAAAACAAATAAATAATCATAGGATATTGCATGATTTTGTGGTTGGATATGATTTTTGTGTAAGACTCGATCAAGGATAAAAAGATCCCTTATTGCTCAATGACCCTAAGTGACAAGTATACGACAAAATTCGTAGCTCTCCACCGACAAGTGGTGGCGTCTCAATATGAATGAAAAATTATCGAGATTGACGTCTGTAATGTTTAAACAAGACCACATTTGTAATATAAATGGGAAATAAAGATAATACCTCAAAGGAAATCTTTTAAATATTTTGTCATTAAATATCCTAGATACACACGATCCAATGTCCTGTTAAATATGTGTAACTTACCACAACGATTTTCGGTCAGTGACATAAGTCCATACCTGGATCCACGACTCATGACTGCTATAGGTGGCAACTCACCCTTAAAGGTTACAATTTGCTGTTTGAATCATAGATATAAATACATTTAGACAAGGAAGAATTTGCAGTAAAGTAAACCTGTGAATTTAGAATAAAACATGCAATCCTATTCCTTTTCTCTATCTGCTGTTTGTGTTACAGTGGCTTCATTAAAAATTATTATAGAATAAGGGAAAGTATGACCAATTGATTATAGCAACATAAGCATCTTCATATCTTCATATCTAATTACAGGAAATAACGACATGCACCATAAACATTTACATGTCATTATATATTGTGTTATTAGGACAGTCAACCACCCCTTAAATTATCCCAAATCAAACAACTTAAACGTACACAACATAGAAACTTGTGCAACAAATTATTTGTTACATTTCAGGTGTTTATTATAGGATACGAAAATTACATATATAAAGTGTACCTATGTGGTTATTATCAAGTTGATCATATATTGTTCTTGAATATATTCATGAAACCGACTTAATTTGTCCACAATAAAAGAAAATCAAGTACAGCTCATTTAAAAAGCTTTACATCTACTTACCTGAAGAATCGAGGAATAGGAATTTTACAAGGAAATCTTTTAACGTGTCATTTATTTGAAAGCTAAAGAAGATAAGTCGTCATCACTTCGATTTAATTATGTTGATTTGTGCTACGCACAAAAGGAAAAACCACTTCATGTCTAAAAATAGATACATCCTATAGTACCCTTTCATGTATAATATAGCAAACAGGAAGAAACCCTTTCATATATACAAGGGTCGTTCAAAAAGTAATGCAATATACAGTGCACCAATATCATAATACAGGTGGAGGCATTTATTATTATTTTTTTACAGTTGAAAAGTTTTTTTTAAATGAGCACCTGAACACAGGGAAAAAACCTTATTTTTCCTATTGTCCTTGTGAAAAAATAAAACACTGAGAGCTAAATGTTAATGATTTACCTCTACCAAGAAAATGAGAATGAAAGCGTATGTGAAAATTGTGCTTTTAATTAAATTGCATAAAAACTCATACATGTACTTAAGATATGATTACATGTATTTGTGAAAAATATCCAAAACGCTGTATACTTTTCAGATGGATTCAACAATCTTCAAGAGAAAGCTTAAGTAGAGAGTTAAAAGAAACAGTCAAACTGGTCAACTGTGAAATAGCTAGGGCTGGTTGTAGTCAGACTGATCAATAAAATACATATTAAACAAAAATGTTCAAATGTATATATGTACTATTAAAAACAGAAAGCATATGGCAGAAATTTTGAATCTTTTGGGGGTCATCTTAGGAGTAGTGTATATACGCCATCGTTTTAACCTTTCTGTGTTGTTTTATATTCAATAAATTTTCATACTAGAGTGCAAATGTGTAACAATTCCTGAAATATTATCTTTAAAATAATCTTTTATCTTTTACTTTAAAATACAGAAGTTTTAATGCGTATTAAATAATTGACAAACAAGTTGCTGAAACAAGAATATTAAAAGCCTTGTTTTATAAAAGTCATAAATTCAAACGTTCTTTGGTCGAAGCAATGGTCTTTTCAGCAAATCCAATTTATCATGGAGTTAAATGCTGACTGACGTTTTTCATACTGATGATTAGACCATTTTTTCCACACTGAATTGTCGACGTATTTTTCCCGGTATATTTCCCGATCAAGACAAGGAACACACGGTGGGTGTGAACGGTAAGCAGAGGATGCTCACTCCTAAAAGAATGTTTTGCAAAGGCAAAAAAAAAAATTCAAAATCAACAGAAAGAAAATGACTGGGATCTCTTAATCTGAGATATAGCTCTTAACGTTTGCATAAAATTTTTTGAATATTTCCTTAAATATTTCTTCAAAGAACTGCGAACGAACATTGTTCCCCCACCTAACGCCAAGTCAATTTTAAAAAGTTAGCATATTCGAAGAATTTAAAAAAGATTTTTTACAAAACGATATGAATTTTCATAAAACATTACTTATTTTGTAAAACTATAAGATTTTGGTAAACCTTTTTTGTTCACAATGGAAATCAACAGAAAACGGAAAAAACTTAAAGAACATCCCCTTGTGAAACAAAAATTCCCTTTTACAGGTAATATGGACTGTTGTTTCAAAAATTCAAACCAATTTTTTTTTGTGTTTCACTGAAAGGGGGTGTATGTTTATACTTAATAGACAAAAAACGACAAAAGAAACAATATCATCACAGATATGTTTATAGAAAACAAAAAAAAGACAAAAAAAAAGAATATTTTCACAGATAATTTATGTCGTCATGAGAGATCTATGGAATAGTTACCATGGTTACGGATTTTTCTTTTAATAAAAGAAACTTTGTTTATGTTTTCCAATGCTAATCGGGCTCACCGCAGCTAGTTTTTGCTAACTATATATAAGATTGACTAAAATAAATTTCACATACAAAAGAGGGGATCAGACTTACAAGCTCAGATTGTCAATTACGCAAAATATAAAAATGTCTGATCCCCCAAAAATGATTAGAAAAAAGTACATTTAAAACAAGAAAATCAACCTGATTTTAAGTTGCGCCGTTTCTGTTATCCTGATAGTGCGATGGAAAGAACCCTCCATCCACCCTTTTTATGGGTTTGTTTTTGTATTATTTTGCATTCTAGACAAAATTTGTATTTTTCTTATACTAGTAACTTGTCAAACATTTCTGGGATTGGCGCAATTATATATTTGGACGCTTCCAAGGATTAATTCATATCTGTTATATTTTATGCATATCTACATGTAATATGATATTTTCACTGCATGTAATTTTCTAGTCAGTCTCAGGGGATCACACTTGTACCTTTCATGCACCTATGTTCATGCTTTATCCTGTTTTGCTTAATATCGGGTGATCTCCCTTAATGATTTGTTATACATTTTACTTTATGCCATTCAAGTAAATGACAGAATCGACAAAACTGCAAATCTGTGTTAATTTATTTTTACTGCACTATCAGACTGATATTTCTCTTAAGAGGCATGTTTTTCCCCCAATTTCGAAGCGATTTACAACTTAAACATTATATTTTATTTATATATTTATGTTCATAATTTAATGCCTAAAACATATAAAAAGATACTAGGAACATTTAATCATACCCACGACTATCTCAAAACATGGTGATTTTTCAATGGAAAATATCGTCTACCCCATTTTTAAGAGCTGGAAATAGGGATAATTTACCATTTAGCGCTGTTATTAAAACAATTCATCAATTACCATTGGCCCCGTGGAGTTTAGGGTTAGAATAGGTCCTCAGTACCTCTTGCTTGTTGTAAAAGGCGACTAAATGGGGCAGTCCTTCGGATGAGACCGTATAAACCGAGGCCCCGTGTCACAGCAGGTGTGGCACGATAAAGATCCCTCCATGCTCAAAGGCCGTAAGTGCCGAGCATAGGCCTAAATTTGCAGCCCTTCATCGGCAATGGTGATGTCTCCATATCAGTGAAATATTCTGGAGAGGGACGTTAAACAGTCTACAATCAATTACCATTGAACTGTTCTTTGTATTAAACAAAGATTTTATGGCCAAATTGCCATTAATATTGAATTAAATGGGTGCAAAATCTAGGCGGGAATCGAAAATTAGCCTGCGCATTTCTTCCTTCCCTTTGAATTTAGTTTTTTTAAGGAAAAAGGCTGAAGCTCTATGTATAAAAACAACAGCTGAATATTATATAAAATATAGAAAATAGCATACGTTTAGTTCATTATGACTAATTAGTTCACCCAATTATTGAGACATGCTTGAATATTTTTTCAAAACATTATAAAAACTAAAATCGACCTCCTTCATAGTGTATACACGTGTACAGTACAGTAACAACAGACCGATGACAACGCACTGAATTTTCTTATCTTGTGATGACAAAGGACATACATTATAAGAAATCAAAAATTTCAGTTTTATTTGTTCTATTTTTGTCTGTAAATGCTTATAACATGTCTTGATACTAACTTCACCAATTAGTATATAAAGAATTCTATTTACAAAAAATATAACGTCTTTTAGGAAAATGAATGCAATCCACGTTTGATTTCACCAGGGTTTAATATCGCCAACCAAACTCCTCTTTTCTCACTTTATTTTAATGACTGAAATTCATATCACACCAAAATAGGTGTCAGTCACAATTTCAGACATTTGTTGAAATGATTTAACTTAAAAAACTAAAAACTGTCACGGCCTATCTTCTCAAGTAATGACACAGGACGGATTGTGTCATAACCTCAAATGTAAATTCATGACAAAGAGCCCATTTCAGTGCTTTAATTACTTTAAAGGTTTCTGACAAAGATGCTGTCTTGGAACTTAATGTGTTCCTGGCCGTGAACATGCACATGCATCAAAATAAAAGAATACAGTAATACTAACTTTTTTGTTCGAATTTCACAACAGTAAAATTAAGCAGATTTCTCGCAAAGGAAGTCTAAATATCGATAACCAGAATATTTTCCTGTACTAACACCGCAGATGCAAAGAAGCGTAGAGAAAAAAGATTTCCCTAAGACAAAATTAAATACACTGATCATGATGATTTCTATGTACAGGAGAATCGAGGCTGACAGATGTGAAGGAAGATAATATTTTTTATTTTCATGGGGGAGGGGGTACCGTCAAACTAATGTCAATAAAACACGATCAGACAAAATCACATAAGATTTTGTTATCTGTATGTTTAAAATACACTTAAATGTTTGAGAAATCAAAGTTACCTGTATTAAACTATAAAGTTAAAATTGTCTATGAATGATAACACCTCGACAAGTAGTCAGAAGGATTAAAAGTTTTCTTAAAATTCAAAATATCATTTGATGATCAGCATTGATAAATCGTAACTAGAAGAATTAAAGAACAGCGAACGATAGAATTGTTCTCCCGCCTACCTCCGAGTCAATTTTCAAAAGTTAACATATTTGATGACTTTTGAATATGTTTTATAGATGATTATATGGATTTTCATAAAACATTGCTTATTTGGGAAAACAAAGAGAGATCACTTTAAAATTTTGGTAAAACTTGTGTTTTCCTATAGAAATCAACAGAAAACAAAAAGAAGAAAAAATCATTATAATGGTACATTGTAATTTTGAATATTAAGTTTCCTGTTCAAAAGAAAACAAGAATCTTGATCAGTGGGAGCAAATCTTCTCTTATTAGCTTAAGTTATTTCGGTACCGGTCTTTGAAAAAACATTTAAGAAACAATGAAAAGGTTTATTTCCGTCTAATTTATCTACCATTTTCAAAAATACCTGACTATTAAAACTACTATATAAAGTGCTTTTGTATTGAATATAGTTAAGGCCAATAGACAGAAAACAACATCAGTGTATAGGCTACTTGCATAATAACTGGAATAAACAATAGTTCCTCAAAATCCAACTATTACTACAAACACTCAAGCATGGATGACAAAAGTTCAACCTCGCAATTTCACTATATTGGACTTCATAAACCGAAATTTGAGGAAATGATAATCCAAATCATAAATGTACGAAAGCTATTCTTACAGAAATCACCTGGAACTTTTAATCCTGTCAGTAAGTTGATGTAATATATTTTTAAAATTACATGAGAGGTATTGTATTGCATGCATTGCAGCGATATGTAACATACAAGATCTGTGTAGTAAAATTTCCACAGAAGGAATGTTATTTTCAAGC